TCAAGCCCAGTTTAATCCTATTACAACCACTTTCATCATCACCAAGATATCTAGATTAAATTTCCTGTGTCAACAGCGATTACACTGCGGGGGCCAATGGGATTGTGAAGGCATCCAGATGGGCTGAAGCCACTGAAAGTGATCAGTAATAATATAAGTATAGATTGTGTGCAGTTCAACACTGGTTCTGGATGCTGCACAAACTAAACCATCTGCAGAAAAACATCAGGAACTAAATCAGATTTTCGGTTAAATTTCAAGACAACAAAAAGATGTTTTTTCATCCTATTGTTAAAAAAAAAAAAAGGAAATCCAGAGAAAAGAGAGAAAATCTTCACCAGATGGTCCAGCCAAGATTATCCTCTAAACATGACTTCTCAGTAGTAACTCTATCTTTTCAAAGAGAGTAAACACATGCAGCTCTGTGTCAGGCAGGTCTCTCCTCTGGAGGGGGTCTGCATGTTTAGTATCTCTGTGTATATTTGTTCCTGCGCGCAGATGTGTGTTTACTGTCACACGGTCAGGGAAGGGTTGCTCAAATAAGTGTGGTTTGTCTTTTGACCCAGCTGCATTGAAACACACAGCACCTCCCACACTTGTCTTGAGCTGTGTTCCCACATCTGTGCCGTGGCTCAAATATCACTGCTTCCCCCCACGAGCATCTGCTTCAGGCGGAGGACGCTTCCTTTCACAAGCCTCTGCTCTCAGATTGTCTCATGTTTGACTCATTTGTAGTCACAACCCTAAACCTCTGCGATAACCTCTTCTTATATAAATGGGCTCCGATGGTCCAATGTATTGGGATGATTTTCAGAAAGAAAAAAAAGCAGGATATGGTATGTAAAACACCCACAATCCTCCTCTGCTGCGTTAAGATACCTCATCTTGGGCTGCAGGAGCGGCCAGTTTCACTTCACCGGTGGGTGTTTTTTTGGCCATCTGACGAAGACTTAGAGAGGATGGTGAGAGGAGTGTCAGTGAGCAGAGGTAGAGTGGAGCGGTTGCCACGGTGAACGTGCTCTGTTCCACCAAGCCGGCCTCTGATTGGCTGCAGCCTGAGCTGAGGGAAGAAAATTCTGCCAATTGGAAACAATTGATGTTTTGTTGCCGGGCCGAGCTGTCCTGACACAAAGCTGACATTTATTGGCAACCAATTGCTCTTGTTTGAAAAGGTGACACTTTAAAAAACTGGCACATTATTACGGCCATTTGTTGCTGTTGGAATTGACAGTTTTTTTTTTCACTTGTATACAACAAAAAATCAATATCAGTAGTGGAAGAGGCATTCTGTTGTGTTACCTAGAAAATCGAGGATTTAAAAAAAAAAAGCCAATAAAGCCTTGCAATCAGAAAATTACCCTGATGAAAGTGAATTACTGCAAAGAATATTGTTGAATGCTCGAAAGCAGAGGCTACCCATATCCCCTATCAAATCATGATACCAGAACAAATAACTTCAAATGAATTTACTACTCACTCCACATGCATTCGCAGTATAGGCAGCAAGTTTCATTATCGTTCTTTTAAAGATTTCAGGGGAAGCGCTTCTCGATGAACAATAATCTCCTATCAAAAAATGCTCCCGTAGAACCACTTTAAAAACATGGAGCTCACAATTATAAAGGTAGGAAGTTACACCAAATATACATGGGGCAGGCAAGGATTTTCAGAATAAAACAGGTGACACTGTGATTAAGTCTTTTTGAAATCTCTCTGAGCGGGAGGGGGCCAGAAATATTTGCAATAGCTCGTAAAAATGATAGTTGAAGTTTTGTCTGTTTGCAAGGACGTACAAGCATTGAGCTAAAAAAAAAGTATCAAAATAATACAGCTTAAACAAAAAATTGTCAGAGCCTTGCACCATGCAGTAAATCACACATAATTACACAGACAGTTCCATAAGAGACACGTTTTTTATGATAGTAGCACCTAATGTAGCGTCAAGTTGCTAGCCTCAAGCAGAGATGAGAGCTGGACTAAACCAGTGTAAACACATTAGTGACTCCAAATCATCAGATTTTTGTTATTTACAAACGGTGTTCTTGCTGTCGGCAGATAATTACAAGAGTTTGTTCTCCTCCCTTTGCTACAAATGGCTTAATACAATTTTTTCTATGTATGCAGTCATTATCTCTAAAGAGTTGTAAACAGACTTTGACGTGTGAGATCATATCTCCTGGCTATTGATTACTCTGGGCTGAAGTCTAAATTATGATAAATGTAGCAGGTTTAGCAACATTCTGATCTTGCCTCTCTAAAACACAGATTATCTTCAGCTGAATGTCAAACTCTTACTCCAGGAAAATACAAAGAATTATTTAGATACTTAAGTCTGAACAGTTCATACAAACAAATCCTCCCTGCTTTTAATAACATCCCATCTTTCTGTGATTTAAGGCTATGTGAAACTGTGGGACATGAACTTTCTGAACTTTGTGCTAGAGATGAAAAACAATGAGCTCAGTGTTCTCCATGGAGGTTTCTGCCTCTTTTTTTTTATTACCTCCTTCATAACCCGTGTGTGAGCACAAAAAACGTACTTTTCAAAGACTTTTTTTTCTCTTCCTTTCCATGTAAAACTGTAAAATAAAAGTGATAATAAAAAAAGGGAGCCCACTGGGTGTAACAGTAAATTAAACCTTTGTTGCTATAGTGTTCTCGTACATCATGTTAGACATTCAAGAGTGCTTATGAGGAAAAGAAACGAAACATCAAAGAATATGGGAATCCTCTGGTCTAGGCCTACATCATTTATCAGACTTTTTTTTTTCTCCTGTCATGTAAAGATTTCTAATATGTTACATGAAAGGATTTATCTATTACGTGTTTTAGGACATTATCTCTGTAAATGTGTGCAGTAATGTAAGGTAGAAGCATGTCCTGATATCATTCATTAGTTTGGGGTCTCAAACAGCCAGACAGTAATTGTATGCTGGACACATGTAATTGAAACGGGCGGGCATGCTTAAACAATTGGCTCTAATTGCATTACTCTTTTGGACCATGACAACTATTGTCAGGCTTTAATTTGCCCCTTCACCACAGCTAATTACATATGTTAATCGTGAATAACTGGCCCCCAACAAGAGGAAGGAGTTAATGCGATAAAAAGAGGACGTCCACTGAGAATGATTTGCAGCCAGACTTTCAGGCGTCCTCTGGCTGAGACAGAGATCTTTTCAGATTTGTGGAATGGAGGGTGATACAATAATAAATAAAGTATTTCACTTTAGGGTAATGGGTGGGTTTTGAAATTATTTTACCAACTATGAGAGTACAATCAGCAGGTGCTACATACAGTGCATCTATCTTTCACATTAAGTTTTTATCCTCTGACAAAGTGATATACTTTTTTATTATTAAAAGTCATATTTTTTTGCTGTTTGTCTTCAAAAGTCATTAAAAAATGTGTGAGTAAATTACATCATCGGGATATTAACGTTAATGTTTCCAAGCTGGATGACTGGACACTGTGATAAAAACAAAGTGTGTCAAGAGGAGAATACAAAGATTCTAACAAAACTGAGCAGGGCCTTTCCTTTTCAAAAAGTGAAACACAAAGTTCAGCCCCACTCCCTCCAAAGCCAAATATTATACAGTGAGTGAGTTATGTATCACTCAGGGCGGTGCAAGGAGCATTGAGGACATCAGGATTGAAGAATTGGAAGAGGAGGAGGAGGTCACGTTTTAATTTCCCTGTAGTGGTCCCTCCTCCCTCTCAATCCTGCTGCAGAGTTTCGCTTTTCATCTTCCTTGGGGTGTGTGGAGCAGTCTCCCTGAGAGAGATGGATCACATCTGGAGCTGCAGCCGTGGGACCAAACATGGCGTCAGTCCAACACCATAGAAAAACACACCCACAGAAACACACAATTGTCCAGAAATGTTGTTGAGCGGTGGCACCACAGAGAGTCTGTGGCTTTAACTTAACTCGTTATTTAAGCATACAGGAGTTCTGAGTTGAACAGTTGTTTCACATAGAAATATGGAGTAGCTTTCACTCGGCTCGACAAAGCAGGAAAAGAGTCTGTCTACTTTAAAAATCCCACCCACTGAAGTGCCCTTAAAAGCCTCTTAAATTAATCCAGAGAAATTAACATAAGCAGATACCATTCCTTTCTCATTGAGGCAGGGCAGACCCTCATGCATGTTAATTGTTCACAGTTTTTATAATCCAGTCTTCCACATGTGGGACCTGATCCAGTCTGCCTGTTTCTGATTAGGACTCAGCCACGTGGGACCAGAGTCGCTGAGAGAGGGATCTGAGGAACATTTTTCTTGGTTTGTGGGATCCAAAACTATTGTCTTGACTGGGAAGCTAAAACTTCACTGTCATGCTATGAGTTGTGATTAGTGCAAATGTTTGTAGCGGTATGAAATGTGTGCCAAATGCAGCTGGGTAATTAAATCTGTGAAAAAGAAGGGCAAAGGAAAGGATATTTTGATCCCACAGCATGCACCCTAAAATCATAAAACTGTAGATCCGTGTTTTCATTGAAATCCATTGTTCTGGGACGATGTCAGTCCAGAATTGTGTCACCCTGCGACGTTAAAAATAAAAAGTTTTTTGAGCAGAACGTTTCTTGCCTGATGATTAACACGTTTGCTTTCAAGATGTTTACGTCAATATATTACGTCGTTATAGTCTGTTGACTTTGATGGGAAAATTGGACTTACATAAAAACACTGTAGAACTTAATTACAACATTTACATTGTTTTATTTTCGGGCCATGTCTTAATACGAAAAGCTGACTGGATATGTTTAAGCCACATTTGATTTACGCTCTTCAAGCAGTCCATATCTTAAAACTTTAAGAAGGATTGCCATGATCATTAAAGGTTGAATTCTAATGACTTGAGGGATTTCCTGGCCTTTCTATGAGCTCCACCATGTAGTTTGCATCTTTGGATGAGGAAGACTGTCTCATAAATGTTTCAATAGATGAGAAATAGAATGGACCTTGGTACAAACAATCACTACCCCAATAAAATGAAAGGCAATAACTTTGGTGATCACTTTAATCCACTGGTTTAAATAGTAATGTGTTCAAGTACTCCAAGTAATCAGTCTGATCCTCTCCCATTTATCAAGTTTTTTATCTGACCTGAAATAAGTCAGGCCAATCACAGTTGCTTATTTATTGTGGTATGAGTTGAATGTTATGTTGAATACTATGAACGTATGGACTGTGACCCCTGTGGTTTGCTGTATGGCTCCTATATTGCTTCTGCATGTAGCAGACCGAGCTGCATGTTTTCGGGGAGGGGGGGGGCAGGGGGTGGATGTTGGAAGTTGAAGAATATGATCATTAGGGAGTGCTGATGGGTCACCAGGGAGCCCTCCATCACTGACAGGCCAGTCCGTCTTGTGGTTCCTCTGCTGTCGGTCACCGTGTCGGGTTTCAAGCACATGGAGTGGATTAGCTATATGTGGCACTTTACCAGGACGATCTCCACCACACCCTGACTGAACAGTGACTGGTTTCTTAGGAGGTCCCACTTTGTTTTCTCTATAAACACTACGTAAATTTAAGACCTGTTGTTGCAGGGTGGTGATCATTTGCTGCAGCCGAGGCCACTGTTGTAAAGCAGTCTGAGGAATGTTACTGGAATTTGGCACCTATTGTAGAGTAGAAGAGTCATTTGATGAGGAGGTAACCATGGCTAATTTGTTACGTTTTTACTTTTACTTCTGTCAAGTTATTGTAGTTTAAGTTTCTTTTTGATACAGAAAATCCAAATAAGCTGTCAATAGATGGATCACATACCACTGATATTCTACAACAATACAAAGTTAACAGATTGAAAATGTGTGATTAAACTGTTGCCTGCTAATTAATGTAGCAAACATTGCAGTTTAACCAAGGTACTTAGGTGTATGTGTTACAATTCGGTGTGTAAAACAAGGGAGGTGGACCCAAGTGCAGAAACCAAAACTTACTTAATCAAACAAAAAGGCGAAAGGCAACAAAACTCAATTCCAAAAGCTCCACAAAAAACACAGGGATCAAAAACAAGGAGCCACAGAGGAGCACGAGCAAATCTGACAGTCCAACAAGATACACTAGCAACTTATGAACTGACTCAGAAGAGAAGACACACAAAGACTAAATAGACATAGGGTAATCAGACACAGGTGAGACTAACAAGACACAGGTGAGGACAATCAGGGTAATCACACTATAGGAAACACACAGAGAAAGGAATACAAGAAACACTGAGGACAAACTAAATCATGAAACACTAAAGACACACAGAACTCAAGAATCTAACAAAACACACTAGATACACGAGGATATGAAGTTACAAAAATGACACATGAAACATTAACCTAGAAAACACACAAGGGAAACAACACCATCAGACAAGAATGAGAACTAAAAACAACAAGAAAACCTAAACTCTGAAAATAAGAAACCAAATCATGACAGTATGTATTTCCCTTACTAAAAATCCTTGATCTCTCAGAGGGTTTCATGTTCTTAGCAATGTTATTTTATGATCCTTTTCTGAAAGACCCTAAAACCCTAAAATTTAAACCAACCATAACTGTCATCTTACGAACACATTTAATCCATCTGAAAATAAAATAAGTCTGAGGTTTTCATATGTAGTTACTGCCACAGCGCAGGTACATACGGCTTTTGCTCAAGGACACTTCAGGAATCCTGTGAGACTTCATTGATTCATGTGTACATTTAACACTGACTTCATGTTTGGCGTTCCTCCTCTGGTTTGACTGCACCCAACATTCTTCCTTAAACATACTGCAGAGTCTCCGGCTTCTTTTGTGTCATTGTCGGAGCTGCACCGTATGATTCACACATTCCATTTATATAGACACAGACTTTTTACTGCCAGGGAAGAGTAAAACATTAAACCATGTTCAGTAGTTGAATAGCTTGGGGACTTTCAGCCTGTATCACAGACTGCCAATAATAAAGCAGAGGGACCACTTATAGACACAACGTCACTGAATTTCTCCCTCTCTAACAATGGCTGGGTTCAGTTTCAGTGTCCTGAGGCCATGGAACTGAAACTGCAAGGTGCAGAGGTGCTTTTTTTTAAGTAGCATTACATAGAGTAAGAGTTGAAGGTAATAAGGTTGTAAAATTGTGTGTTTGTCAGGAGACAATGGTGAAACACAGAGTGTCCAATTTCAATCTGCAGTCAGTTTTTGCAAAGGCTAAATTCGTTGTCTGCTTGGGTTAAAGCAGTGTGCTAGGCAGAGATTAATAGCTCATGCTTTCAAACATTTTAAAGAGTCATATCATTTATATGACAAGATAAGAAACACATTTTCTAAGTTATTTTTTGTTGAAATGCAGATAACTTGATTTTCTTTGTAAAGAGAGGGTTGTTTCTTCAACGAGATGTTGGGTTTGACTTCAACAGGACATTTCATTTTGAGGTCAACACATATATCACCCAGACGTTGTTTTCCGATTCAATTTCATGTTAGGTAAATTTAGAATTAGGATTAAATGTTAAAAAGAAGTCATGATCTGACATCAACTTGACGTTGGGTTGTAACATCAATCAGACGTTGGCTGTGATGTCTTATGGGATATGACACACACTGGATGTTTGGTTTTGACGTCAACTCAATATTGGGTTTTAAATCTTAACGACATGTTTGACGTCAACTAGGTTGGGTTTTAATGTCGACATGACTCTTGGATTCAACTTGACATATAAATATCAGGATCTGACATCAGCTAGATCTCTGTATTTGACATTAAATGGGAATTTGGTTTTGATGTCAACTGAAAGTTGGGTTTTTACATCAACTGGACGTTGTAATTTTAAATCAATTAACTTCTTTTGACAATAAATGAATGGGTCCCTTCGTTTCTCCTCTATGCTGCAGGAGCCACATTAGTCAGCAGAGCTTTCAGTCATGATGGTATTAGTACATGTTGCCATGCTGTAAAGATAAGAGTGCACTATTCCATCACTATGACAGAAAAATCATCAACAAAGCCAGTGTGCCAGAAGTGTTTCTACTGTTTCAGATTTTGTATTGGTAGTTTTCAATCAGGGTTTTTATTGTTAACAGTAAGCAGGAAAGAGGTAGTCAACAGTGACATGGAACTTATCATTTTTATAGCACCCAAAGGATGAAAATGGTGTCTTTGTCACTTTCCCGTCTGAACCCCCTCTCCTTCTTGTATCCACACTGCATACATAATTAGAGGCTAGACCCAGTAAAGCTGACTGAAAATAGATCGTGATGTTGATCTCAGTCGCTGAGGCTGTACAGTATGTAACGCTGCCAGTCCCCTGAAGAAAACGTCAGCAAAATGTCTCACGTTTTCATCAAGTTCCTTGAGGAAGCAGCTCCACTCAGCTCTGGTAATATTAGAGCTGTCTTATCAAGTCTTATACGTCTGTGACAGCTTCAAAATGACAGGATGAACGAGGATGCAGCTAATACCGGCTGGCGTGGGATCTTCGAAAACATGCTTACATGTGAGTCAGAGACGGCTATATTTAGTCTTTAGAGCAAAGATCACGTTGTTCACATTTAATATGCTTTGTTCTCAAGGCGAATAAAGCTTGAGTTGTCAGATTTGTATTTCTATCACCACCTCAAGAGAAAATAGACCTTCTTGGTGAAGTTAGCTGCACTGAAATAGGCCTTAAACATTCAAACTAAACTTTTCACAGAAATGAACTTTTTTGATTATCCACAGAAGAGTTATTGCTTGGGAATTCTTTGATGGATTTTTTTTAATACTATGAGCACCACAAACTGGATGGAGGCAAACTTCTCCCTAAGCTGATGCTGCAAAAGTTTACAGATTCTTTATTCAGATACTTGTGTAAATAAGATTCTGGTTTAAGTTAAATCTTTGTAGATTCAAGATGTTTTTTGTCACTCAGTGGGTACCAAAAAAATGCCGGTTGGCTGCATTTCAAAGAGCAGATTTTAAATATAAAGACATGGTATTCAGTATCAAATAAAATGTATCTCTCTGAAGGACATTACCCTTTCATACTGTGGAAGCCATTTGTGGGAAACTAATAAAACTTAATCATTATAACTTAAAAAAAATAAAAACAGCAGCTCTGAATCTACTCAGATGTTTGCTGGTTCTCTTGCATCCATGTTGCAATAAAAGTTCTCATTGTTAGTTGCAAACATTGCATTCAATGCCTTTTCTTCATTGTAATTGTCCTGAAGCTCACTCGCCCAGCTTAACGGTAGAGAAAAGTAGAGAGATAAAGAAAAATGTTGTGAGAAAAATGTTTTGGAAACTGCAGTTATTTAGCCAGAGGATGTATTTCATTATTTCTCACCTCTGGCAGTAAGTTTTCTCTACACATGGCTGCCCTCAAACACTCAGCCACTGGTTGATCAGACGAGTATGTAATATGTCAAAATGTGGTGAGAAATTAGGGCACAAAGATCATGATGGCCTTGGGTGGGAATAAATCTCAGTCTGCGGAGCCACTGGATACAGCCAAGGATGAAGATGTGGATGTTAGCAGGCCATGACTTGTCTTTAGGAGCTTTGTGGGGACAGATTAAATCAAGATAAATGTCAGGTAGAGGATGTGACTCACTCCTCTGACCGGGTTTCCATCCACCTCCTTCCACAGTCACCAAAACAGACACAAAACAGTGTAAATGCATTTTCAGAGTTTGTTTTCAGCGCACATATTGACACACTCCCCTCTTCTTACTGGCAGGGAGGGGGGCCTGACCTTTGTCCCCAGCTGGACGCATATACTCTTGATGCTTTGGAGTCTTTCAACAGGGGTCATTAGGGGGAAAAGACCATATGTCTTCTAACCTCCTGCCCAAATTAGGAAACACCTCACATCTTCATCTGCTTCAGTCGGCACGTTATTGATTCTCTCTGAAGAGATTTACATCCCGCGTCGGATGAGAAGAAGATTGATGTAATGGCCGTGCAGAGCCTGCTTGCTGACCTCTTCTGACGAATATTATCCACAGAGAGATTCACATGTGCTTTGAGTCCCTGTAATCTCCAGGTGAAATATTAGACAACAGGGATGGGATTGAGCAGATAAAGCCGTAATCCCCACCTGCAATTGTGAAATCCACTCCATTTTGACTAATCCAGGTTCAAATGTGGTGCTGTAGGTTTATGTAATCATGTAAAATCATTGCTGTCTGCTACTTAATCAGAGTAACACTGCTTCTCTATATACAGGAAGTCCGTCAAAAAAGTCTTCAACATAAAGCTCCACTAATCTTTATTTATTTTAGAGAGTCAGTTTTTTAGTTATTTTCTTTTCAACTCAGACTAGAGTTAGGCCAGCCAGGGAATTTGATTAATTTGCAAGCTCATATTTATTTATTTTTAGTTCTTTGTTGTATTGTTCTGTCCCCTATAATCTAGTATGGAATCTTCACATTTTAGACTAATATGTGTCTGTTTTAATCTGATTGTTTCACAGCTGTTACATTCTAGACCACAACCTCTGCACAACCCTTACAGGTTTTAGTATCAATGAAACAAGCTGCACGCTCCATCCTGCCTTCTGTCGACTCACTAATACACCAGCCCTAGTTATTCTGAGATTAAGTTATGTAACAAAACTATTCAGCAATCAGATTCAGGTGATAATTCTGAAGTTACACACAATGATGGACCCCTCTTCACAGTGTTGAATTTCATCTCATACTTTATTTCACATAATAATAGCCTCGTTCGTGGCTGTATCTAGTTTTTATAAAAACTATTAGGAATTTTAATTTTCTGTCAATTTTGACAATCACTGTGGACGAAGCAGTACATCTTTCTTTTTTTGGCTGATCCTGTTTTACCTGCGTTTTTTTTAAATATATGCTTTCTTTCACCATACTGCCTCCTAAAGTACTCACTGTGTAACCTTTCAGGGCAATATGTAAACAAAGACTGTAAGGAATTGCATTATGTGAAATGCTTTAGGGTTGACTGTGGCTTAATTGGTAGAGTGGTTTGTCTCTCTACCAGAAAGTCGGGGGTTCGATCACCAGCTCCTGCAGCCACATGTCTGTGTCCTCGGGCAAGACACTTAACCCCAAGCGGCTCCTGGTGCTGCATCAGCGGTATGTGAATGCATATGAATGGATGAGTTAATACAGATGGAAACTTAACATAGCAGTCTGCCATCATTGTGTGAAT